TTAACTGACCAACCTTTCTCTTTGGGATGAGCACTTAGCGAGCAGAGCCTGACAGAGCAGGTGGGGCTGGCGGCTGGGTCTGACAAAGCACATCCCAGAGCTCTGCTTTGACTGCGGGTTTCCTATAGGGTCCCCAGCAGAGCCCATGTCTGTTCTGCACAGGCAGAGCCCTGAAAATGGAATATAAGCTGTGAAAACACCACCTACCCACCAGGAATGCATGCCCGAGAGCACAGCGTCTTCAGCTCCTGCCGTGGTCCAGTCATCAGCTTTTTGGATTTATTAGCAAGGTAAATCCCGCTCACAAACTACCAAGTTGACAAAGAAATACAGCATAAATACAATGCAGAACCACAGTGAAAGGCAAATACACTTCACTTAAGTCTGAAAAGGTCACCAGAATGTTGTGGGAAGGGTACCAATTCACACACCTCAGCATCAGCAGCAGAACAGGGTTGTTAATGACTGTTTTTCTGGAACTTCTTTTAAAAGCTGAGATCTCAAACTATCACTCTCCTGCTCCCTCTGAGCAGCCTTTATAAAGGACAGGTAAAAGGGGAACTTCCTATCCACGACCACAAAGCACAGGAGGCGATTTCAAAGACAAAGATCAATGCCTAATCTTCTGATTTTTAGCACAAATCTTATAATTCAGGATTATTTCATACTTGACAATTCCCAGCAGCATATCTTACTTATTTACAAAAAGAGAGGAATTAACAACAGCTCAGGACATTTTTATTTTAATGAAATTTAAAAAGGCAGTTATTAGTTATACATACACACAACTGATTCTGTACTTGTTAGTCATAAATATAGAACATTCAGAAGTACAAAATACACTTTATCCACAGCACAATTTCACATCAATATGAAGAGTTTAAACAGATAAGTAACCAAGTGCCTAACAATGACAGAAGCCCATTTTTTGAGTTGTTTTATTTTTCTTTTCTTTCTTTTTTTTTTTTTTTTTTTAAAGACCATTAATCTACACAAAGTAATCAGTGCCCACAGTGATCAGTTCCATGAAATGCACTCTGATTTAGAGTAGGAAAAGACTGACCTTTTAAAGACAATTAGATGCCATCAGTTTTTCTTTGCTCCATTAACAGAAACAAACCCAAGCCCACATTCTCCTTCTCTCACAGCTAACAACTGTGAAAAATGGGACTCTGGCAAAAATCACCTAAAGCCAAACTTGAGCACTGCCAGGAAAAGTGAAAATATCTGAACTAGAAATTAGTCCACTCGATACCTTGCAAACAAAGAGCAACAGCAGTATGACACTGATAAGGCATTAATGACAAAATGGCTGTATTATTCTCGAAAAAAGAGTACACCTATGTATAAAAATATATGTCATAGCAATTGGGTAAATCCAACACTATTTAACACTGTGCCAAAAATAATTAAGAGTTAAAAAGGCAGTACTGCAAGAAGTATTTACAGTTTTATACTGTACTTCAAAAGAAAAAAAAAAAAAAAAGAGGCAACAAAGCTACAAATAGAACTACCTGGTTAAAGCATCACCGTAGGTACTGCCAGTAGCGCTTGTAACAAGTAATGTGATGGAGTCCCTCTTGTTAAAACAGGATTGCTTATCTCAATAAATGAATGTAACTATTTTAGTATCTAAAAAACTCAGTCTACATGCCCACTCATTGAAATAATTCACCCAGACCTTTACTATTTGCAGTTTCTTGCTCCATCAGTTGAAAAATCAAAAGATTCCCTTTCAAGAAACACTGTGTTTGCCACACAGTTTGATCAGAAATCACAGCTTTATTTCCAGCTTAAAAAACACAAAAGAAACGAGAAATCCACCACCTGTGAAATGCTGGAAACCGGCAGCCAAAGTGCCAGCAAAACTACACCGAGGGCACGTCATAAAAACATTAGCATTCCAAATGCACTTTATAACTTCAGCTACAGAATAAGTAAGTAAGTTGCTTTAGAAACGAAACACGTGACAAAAAGATACAGCACAGCCAACGCTACGCAGCTTTTTTGGCCACAAGACCTGGGACGAGGCTGTTTCAGAGAAGCAAGCCACTGGCACGACGGCAGCGCAGGGCGAGGGCAGCGCAGGATGCCCAGCGGCGGCAGCAAAGGCTGAACGTGCTCGTTTGCTCGGTTGGAAGCACAAAAGTTGCCAAATTTTAAGCTCATTAAGCACTCCCTCCTCGCTGGTTTGGGAATGACATCCCAGTGCCTCCCACTTGGGTGTGGGAAAGCGCTGCAGAGTTGGGATGGTTGGGAATGGGAGGAGAGGTAAGGAAGGGTGGGAACGCCAAGAAGAAAGCACTGGCTCGGGATGGTGGAACAGAAATGTGGGGTGATAATGGCTCGCAGGGAAAACCCAAACCTGGCACTATCCAGACTGCCCCTTAGCAGAGTAGCCATCCCCTTTCCCAATCAGAAAGGCAGGAGTGGTCTCCAAGGTGAGAAGCTGTCCATGCTCCGATGCCTCAGGCATACTGGCTTCAAAAAAATAATACTATATTTAAAAAAAAACAACAAAAAAGAGGGATGTGCTTGAAATTCTAACTGCACTTCTAACTGCACAAATTCTGTACATGAGAAGCTTTCTCCAGTAGTGTAAAAACCACGAAACACTGAGGAAGTTATCATCACTGATGTTAGGAGACAGAAACCTGCTTTAAAAACCTCTTATTTTTAGATTGTATTTAGGAACAAGAATAAACTAGAAATATTCTTAGAGCAGTCTGTTGGGTAAAATAAAACAGGAACATTTTTCAAATTAATTTTTAACTTCATGGAGAAACTTTTTTTTAAATTTTAGAAGAACTGACATTTATCATGTCAAACGTTTTCTGCACAGAGATGCAAACTGCTCATCCGCTGCTCTCCCTCGTGATTAGCCCCTTTTAAAAGGACGTCCCGCTGTACAGATGCTGACCGCCTTGCTCCAGCCAGCACAGCATCCAGGCACCTTTTACAGACATCAATGAATTTCACTCTGGGAGAGCAGAGCTTTGCTTCTCTAATTCAATGAGCAGTCATTCATCTGAGCAGTGTGAGCAGAAAGGGAGAAGGCTCCAAGAGAATAAACAGCCATCTATTTAAAAGAATAGTGTGTAAGTGTGTGGCTTGCTCACCTAAGAAGGTATTTTTCTGATCTCTGGGAGAGAAGAAACACGAGGTTTTTTGTTTGTTCTCAGTGTGATTTTGGTGAGTCAAGCACAGACCAGGAGAGCTGAGGCCTCTCCAGTACTGCACCTAGAGATACAAAAAAATTTCATTCAAAAAAAAAAAGTCCCTAGCCCCACTTGCACGTAGAGTAAGAGATTGGTCCCAGATTTAGCGAAAGAAACAGTAGGAAGGACTCTTCCTGGATATTGAAAACTACATGCTGTTCTTGGACAGGGCCAGGAAAGCGAAGTCAGATGGGAACACCACCATATGGTTAACTGCTAAAGCAGTGTCTCTGGGTTGTGTTTGCTGCAGCCCAGCCACCTGCATTTCTTGACAGCATGAAACCTGTGTGGCCAGAGCAGGCTGCAGGGTGGGGACCTGCTTGCTTTTCAAGATACTATCCTGATGAGATGGACTGCAGTGATGAGCACGGTGCCACACATCAGGGGCACCCCAGAATTCAAGAGGAGCTAGAAGAGGGCAGACATTAGTGCTGTGAGACCTTAGTGCTGTGAGGTATAAGAATTGCCATGGACATTTGAGATCCTCTAGATGGGGGCTATGCCCTGAGGGTGCTGTTTCAAGGTCCATGATGGCCCCTGAATATGCAAAGGCTGAGGGAAGCTGTCCCCCTTCTCCTCTGGAAAGGCTGGGTTCCACCGTCCAACCTCAAAGGTTATGAACAACCTGCACGTGGGAACTCTGGGCTCCTTGTCCTTTGTGAGTGATTCCTTCTCCTCTCATCCCAGAAGAAATAACCTGGATAAAAACATTGACCTTACAACTCAGCCTCTGTAACTCATCATGCATATGAAATACTGAATTAAAACGTTTCTACCACATTTCTGATGAAGACAATATGGTAGGTTACTCACCCAAGAGGAAGGTGATGAACTTAACCTCTGCAGAAAAGCATATAGTGTTCAGAATATTCAAGAGTCTTCAACGTACTTGGTAAGCTCAAAATTCCGTATTTAACAGAATAGGGTATAACAGAAGAGACTGCTTGGGAATCCAAGCAAAAATTCAAGTTATCACTGTGTATGCAGTGGACAATAGTCCAACTGATATCTATTACCAACTCACTCTAAAAAAATTATACACTACAAAACCATCTCACTGCTTGCAGCAAATGAGCTTGAATGATTTCCTAGTAATAGGCCACCACCTTGCACTGTTAAAACGTGAGGTTTCACAGTATAAAAAAGTACTTCACAGAAAGGAAACGCAGCTAATATAGAAAATGCAACCTTGCTCTGTTTACAGTCATTTTTTACGAGGCAATATTTTTGGGAAAGCAAGAACAATAGAAATTAAAGCAGCCAGTGAGAAATGTATAGAGTTATAGGCCTCAATTCAGTGCAAAACCAGACTAATAGCTTATGTAAATAAATGTTTGTTCTGAATAGAGAACTACCTGAATTAAAAGTAAGAACACCTATGTGAAGTTATGGAGACTCCCACAATATCTAAATCCTCCATATATATCGTCAACTTTTTCAGAGACCAGAATGGACCCTTTGTAAAGGCAAAAGAAACCAGTACAGGAAATCACTTCATACAGCACAAGATATACATAAAGTACCAAAATGTACACACATTCAAGTTTCAGTTAGAAAAGGCGGAGCTGAATCTTCTGGTGAGAGAGGCCTACATTATGTTGCTTAATCTCACATTTAAAGTGACCTAAAAACTACAAGAGAATCAAAGAAAACAAGAATATTGTGTCTGCTTCCAGAAACATAAGCTTAAAGCAAGGCATCGAAGTTGAGCGGTAGGCACTGTAACAAGACATCACCTTACCTTCTCTCTGTTAGTCTTTGTTACTTCGTTATCTATTTAAAAATTACCATTCAAAGGAAATATTAGGTATCATTCACATTCAAATATTTAAGACTCAGAGATATTTTTCTTTAAATCAAGCAAAGTTTTTAATCTCTGAGGTAGATGATAAGAAAAAGAAAAAAAGAAAATGGAGCTGTCAATGAACACTAACAAGTGCTGGAGCTCCCCTGTCGGCACTGGCGCACCCCAAGGAGGAGAGAGCAAGCCTTATAGCACTATCTGGAACACGAGGAATGTGTCTTCTGCTTTAGTAGCTTCTACAGAAATGCAACACAGAAAAAGCAGAGCCAAAACTACACTGAAATGGCCTTGGAGATGAACTTCCATTTCTGCTTCACAAGCTACTCAGAAAATGGTGGAAACATGCCCAGGTCAGCAAAATCTTCAATGTTGTAATTGCCAGTACCCTGCGTCGGATCCCCCGGCATTGGCAGCATGTCCTGCACGATAAGAAAAATTCAAAGTGAAGTGTCATTTGCTAACATGTTATCCAGACACAAACTGTTTCCTGTTCATCTTTTCAGTGCACAGCCAGAAAAGGCCAAAGGTTAAATAAGTAAAGTAAAAACCAGACCTGTGCAGGGAGCAGGGCTACTGTTTATGTGCTGCTTGTGTTTTGCTGGAGCATTTCTGAACGGGAAGTGGGACTTTAACAGGGCAGAAGTTTTGGATTGCTCCTCTGAATAAGGCACATTTGAGCTGCCCCATAGTCCTCCTAGACTGAAACAGCTCCCCTTGGGAAGGATAGCTCCATATTGAGAGAAGCAAACTCTCTGGTTTCACTCTATGGGAAGTATTCAACAACCTCCACACTCCTGCACCCTACAGAAAGGAGCTCCTGCTGTAGAAGCATGGGCTTGGGGAGGGCCTCACCTCCTCATCAGCATTCTGTAAGTGAATGAATTACTGCTCTTCAACCTCTGAGGAACACTAAAGACTGGACATCCACCCCAGCTAACAAGATGCCCAAGCAGCTTGCATACATGTACTAAGGCAGAGGAAATACCAGGAACTCCTCAGGAAAAATGGGATTTCATAGTAATTGCTCTCACGTGTCTTGAGCCAAGTGAGGTCCCAGAAGGATCCTTAAAAAAATACTCAACCTTTCCTCTCAGCCGGAGACCGAAGCCACAGGGAAAAGATATCCCTTGCTGAGAAAACCAGAGTTTACGCTTGCTTTTCCTGTCAGTCCTTGCAATAATAAGTGCTTACTGCAAAGCCAAGTTTTTGCCAGGGATGGCTCATCCTGACAATAAAACAAAACCTAAAGAGCAAATAAGAAAGCTCACAGGATCTGCTCTGTGAAAGAATAACCATTGAGAGCTGCTGTGTACTAAGCAGTTATCCCAAAACAAAGACACATTAAAATCTGAGGTCTCTGTAGCATCACTGTTGATGGTGGTGGAAGAGGCTGTGAACACAACTGGCAGTTTCTCAGCTGCCAGGGTCAATCTTCATTTTCTGACCAAAACTTGCACTTACTTTATGTTTTTCCACATTCCTTCCCAGCCAAGGGAAAGTTGTAGCTGCCCTTTGTTTAAATTTCCATTTCTGAAGGCATTTCTGCTGCTGGGGCCTCTGAGGCAAGGTCTCCTCAGGTACAGACCCAGCAGGGTAGCTCCTCTCTCAAGTCTTCCTCTCCCTGTATGCCCAGCTACCCCAGGGCTGACTTCAGGCACAGACAGAACAAGTAACTTCTTGAAGGCCTTTGAACTGAGCTCATCCAAGTTTCAGCATATCCAGTTATTATCCTAACTCCCTTCAAATGCAGTCACCTCCAAGAGCTCTGCAGGTCAGCCCAGTTCTCCTTTTCTCCCTTGACCCTCCTTCCTACTAATGAGCATTTGCTGGGACACAGCACTTGCCTGAGACACAAGCAAGACACTGCTTGGACCCCATGTCTCTGTGGGGAGAGAAAATTGAACCACGCTGCCATTGGCTCCACTGGAATTACCCTGAATATGCTTTTGGGTTAGAGTACAAGCAAAGCAAATAAACTTTGCTCACAGAGAGAGATGCAATAGATTAATCTTGCCTGGGCCATGGGGTGAGAGCATGCAGACAGGCAGTTATCCCAGATGTAGTGATGTGATTTGTTCCTGTGTGAAGCAATGGTTCATTCACACAGAAGAATTTCAGGCTAACGTCTCTTCTGCAGCATTCTTCCAAGCAACTGAGCACGAGCCCAGTCTTGCAGGTGAATTTACTTGCTAAAAGATAATAAACTGTCCCATTTCTAAACCTTGCTTGGGGCTTGAACTCTTTTCAGCATTTATCTGCATTGTTTTGTTGCAAACTGTCTTCTTAAACTAATTAAAGAACAAGTTATACAAGGACAGACACCTTATTAGTTAACTTATAAAGTCCCACTCCATCTGTAGTAAAGGCCCAAAATTAAGTTAGGTAGTTGAAGAGGACTGTTTACCAGCTATCTGATATCTGACTGGCTTTAACCTTAAAAAATTATTGACCACTATCTTCTATGCAGTTTTCAGACTTGTTTCCTGCTTGAGCTATCAAAGAGAATTACACTGATGTCTAATTGGACTTGAGCAGGATTTTAGAGGCCAGCACCAGGATAAGAAAGACTCTATTTGGGACTATTTCATGGTTTCACGAACCATCTCAGTTGTAGCTAATGCCAGCTAACAGCAGTGCAAACCTACAGCAGCACCCAGCAAGAGGGACCCTGCTAGCACACTGGTCATTGAGGACTACCGCTCGTCAACTCAGCAGTGAGAAGCTGTCAGAGGGACTCTGGGCTCACTGCACTCTCCTCACCTGGAACACCTCGGTCTGACTGGGTTGTGGGTGTGAATGCTGGTCACCACTTTGCTGGTTGTGATGTTGGCTCTGCCACTGGGACCAGACTTCGGAAGGTCTCCCCTGGAACTGGCTGCTGCTCTGGCCACCTTCAGCTGGAGAGGGGGAGAAAGGGAAGAAGTCAGAGAGCAGCTCCTTCAAAACACCCACCTGCTTTTGAGACTTCATCCATCAATGCCTGTGTTTGCAAGCAAGTGTTGGAAAGAAGGTCCTGAGTGACATCCAGCCCCTGCGGGGTGGAAGCCGAAGGGAGCTGCAGCCCTGATTGCAGGGTGGGGGCCAACCCCAGAGCAAAGCTCATCGCCGCAGCTGCACAGACACGCCAGGTGAATCGCTCACAGTAAAATGTACAGTGACACCACAAGCCAGGCACTGGGAGACCATTTTCAAGCATCCCCCCACCACTTTTTAATCACTAATAGAGAATATTTGCCCTTTTGCCTAAAACACAAACTGCATCATCAGAATGCTCTTTCTCTTTAAAAGACCAATTCTTGCAGAGCAGTGGGTGCAGAGTTACCTACTCATCTAAGAACGCTTTCAGATTTTGTAAGCAGATGTAAAAACAGTAAGATCAACTGGCAACAGCTTTGCTGTATGAATGCAGACACTGCTGTATTAAATGCAGAGTACTGTTTGTTGCACTATCTTGTCCTCCAATATTACAGCTGCAGGATTTAACATACAGCTTATAGCAAATTATTATCCTGTTTCTATGGCAATAGTTTCTTAAAAGTCTGAGGCTATTTAAATTTCACACAGAGTAACGTGAACACCAAGGTTTTATGGTAAATACACTTAAAATTATAATTTCAGAGAGATGGATTTCTTCTAAATAGTCTACCAGAAAAAATCATGATGTCACACACATTAATTTGGCCACCTATTATACACAAACTTTTTGTGAGCACAGTCATAGGTCACACTTAAGTTGGACTCTTTTTACCCTGTATTTCTACAGGCTGGCCCCAAATGTATACAATTTTGTAAGTAATTGAAGGAAAATTATCCAAAATATCTCCTTCTAAGAATTAACATTTTATGAAGCCTACCATCAGGCTTATGCTTTTCCTCCAAGCATTTTTTTTTTTTTTTTTTTTTTTTTTTTTTTTCCCCTATATAACTACTCCTACTATTTTTGCCTATTTTCCCCTCACTGCAGAGAACCAAGCTGGGTAGATCTGGTCCTCCCCAGTTATCAGCACCCTCTGCCAAGGTGCCAAATGTCCTGTGCCAAACCTCCACATGTGAGCTATGTCGGATCTCTAAATCCAGACTTGATCATGTCAAATCAGTCACTACTCATAGTCACGGCTTCAGAAAATACAGAAACGTGTGCTTAATCCAATACTTTGGGTTAGCAGCTAAACCATGCAAAACAGATAAAGTGAACATTTTACAGGAAAGTAAACAGGCTGTCGTGACGTGTTTCCATCACATCTGAAGTAGATAATTACAGCTCTTCCCTTACTGACATTACCACAACCAATAATACAGCTGACTCAGAAACCCTGCAGCCATTTTATGGGCCAAAACAAAATTCATCTAAGTTACCCTTTAAAAAAAAAGTTGCAAGTTTGTTGTTTTGGTTTTGGTTTGGTTTTTTTTCCCCCCTCAGAACAATACATTGAAATTAACTCAGTGAGGCAAATGATGCTTCTTTTCAGCAAAATAGTTTCTGCCAGCCGGAGGTTCAAGACATTCATCTCTGTGAAGGCTGTGTTATTAATAGTATCCAAACTGATGTAGGTCAGGAAATGTTTCTCATTAGGTGAAAGGGTTCTTGCCAAGTAGCTTAGGCCTGAAATGCAAAGCTGTCTCATAAACAAATGTACAAAGCCTGGTGGAAATGGAAATGGAGGCATGAATAAGGCTCTGTGGGAAGAGCTCTGTTTCAATGCACTTTTTCTAGGGAACGCAGCGCAGGTCTGCGCTCTGTGAGGTTAATCTACAACAGACCTGCGCCAATTTTATTCTCAAGGGATAAGAGAAAAATGACACACATTAGCACACTGCTACCTATGCTTTTTGGAACTGCACGTTGTTATCAGGCAGCAACATTTTTCATGGAGTCCATGTGTGTTTATCACTGATGAATTAATAATTTTTTTTTCTCTTGAATATTATTCTGCTGGTGGAGTGCAGAAAACTTATCAAGGGGTCACCCACTGGGTCATGATCTGAAAACCACTAAATTAGCATGTAATAGGAAAAGAACACCATTTCAAAACATGGCACCTACTCTGATTAGGTTAGTAGCAGTGTGGGTACAAAAAAAATCCTGTCTGCAGCTAAACACCAACAAGCCACCTCTGGGCAAGAGGATCCTGCCATCCAGTCAGGGAAATTGAAAAATGAAAAGAATATAAATTTGTGCCATTTGAGCATTCTCCTGAGAAGTGAAAAGAAACTGAACCTACTGACCACAATTTGGGAGGACACGTACTAGTGATGTAAGTAACTTTTGAATCTTTCATTACAACATTTACTGAAAAGGAAAAAAAAAAGGAAACAAAAAACCCACCAAAACCACCATAAAATTCTGAATTGGATGTGGAGGAGATGCAGCACGGAGAGAAGAGGTCATCTCAGTCCACTCTGCTGAATGGGAGAAAGCAAAACCCTTTCTGCCCTTGGGCTTCCCAACTGATCCACCAAAATACCAGGTTGGAGGATTTTAAATGAAGTCAGTGCTAGAGAATTTCATTTTTATGGGCATTTCTGTGTTACACCATTTAAAACTTACCAAACCCTGCACTTCGGTTTGCTAAGCTAGAGTAGGCATTCCCACTTGGAGAAGAGGTGGCTGGGCTGGAAAGGGGGCTGTATGATGACGGATCAGCTGGGTAGGTGTGACTTGTTCCAATCCCAAAGGGAGATGACTGAGCCTTGCCAGACTGAGATGGAATTTGCTGAGGAATAATGGGTAAGAGAAAGGAATGAGTTTTATTGTTGAGGAACAGCACAGCAGACTCACTTTTAACAATGTAAACACTAAATAAACTCTGCAGATGCAAACAGGCACGTTATTCCTTTCTTAGCCATATTTCATTTCTGTCAAAGCCAACTTATTGCTGCATAAGGAACACCTCAGACTATAAACCAACACTAACAGCTCTCCTGTTGATTAACTTACACATACTCAGCACTTGAGCTATTTGGAAAAAACATTATTTCCTTCACCTCTACTAAAAGGATTAATCTCAAACGGAACAGGTATGAAGAATTCACCTTTATTTGCCAGGTGTTTTGATTTTGCAGTGCCACAGTAAACCCAAGGTTATCTGAATGTCTTGTAGAACACATGCAGTTCTCACATGACCAGAGGCTCCAGTGCTTGGGGGTAAATGGTCAGAGAAGTTTCAAAGCTAATAAGCTGCTTTCTCTTCCTGCCTAAGAAGTACAGGCAGCAGTTATTTTGCCTTGCAGAAAGCTTGGGAGGGACTGTGAATCACCAGCCCTAGGAGGAGGGAAGAGACAATCTAACTTTGCTTTAACTGGGCAGCTGAGTTAATTCAAGGGTATTAAAAACCATCTTGCTGTCAATTTCATCACATAATGGCTTTCTCATAGGATCTCCAAGAATGTTACACAAATGATTAAACACTCCAAGACTGCTTTGAGACATGTACAACATGCACACTGAGACTAAGGGAGATGAAGCGTCTCATCATGTGCTACAGCAGTGTATAACGCTACAGATACAATCCGCTTAGAAACAAATTTCCTGCGTTATGAACAAATCCAGCAGTTCCAAGAAAAACTCACTGCCTAACCAATTCCACAAATAGAAATTAAAGGTGATTACAACTCTGGATACTTCTAATGATGTGCACTGTTAATGGCAATCAATGCACTCAAGTGAAGCTATTCTCTTGGAGAAATGCAAAGGAGCTGGGGGAGGAAAACAGATCCCAAGAGGCATATAACATGATGAAGATGCTATAAAGTCTTCAGCTTAGTTCCAAGCTAAAAAATTGTACATTTCTAAAGGTTTCCACAATGACAGTAAGAGCACCATGTGTCAATTCTGCAAGACTTAACTATATTTTACTTGATGATGGATGGATGAATGAATTCCAGTTTCCCTAAACCCACATACAAACTCTGTCGACTTGGACAGAATCTGGACAGTACGAAGGACGAGGTTTTCTTTTAGTCAATTTTAGCATCCTCTGTATCATTTAAAAAAAAAAAAAGTTAATGTTACGATAGGATTTCATTAAACAGGTGTGACAGAATAACCATGGCACACTGAAGGCTGGGAAGTATCAGTGATTAATGTGGAAACAATTCAGTTACTGAAAAATTATTTAGTGCCCACCCCAACATGCCATTCTAGTCTAGTGAACAATGGAAAGTCAAGAGTGATTAAGAGCAGCACTGATGATGGATCAAACGTGATTATTTTATATTCTTTTCTTTAACAGAATTTTCAAAACCATTTTTTTTTTAATTGTTACACAGAACAAGAGGTGATTTCTGGGCTAACGCTGTGAAACGCAGGGTGTGTGATGGAGGGATGTGCTGCTTCCTCCAGGGCACAACACAGGGTGAGCTGCACTGGGCAGCGCTAATGGAGAGGCAATGGGCTAAGGAGCCTCTGCTCTGAATTCATGCCTGGATTTGTATGTGTCCTTTTCCAATAACCCTGCTAACTGTGGGTAACATTGCTGGGTGCAAGGTCTTGCTTGAAGAAAGATTTAATGCACAGGCTTAATACCAGAGCATATCAGCTGCGCTCCTTTATTTCATTCGGTGCACATATAAAACTAAGTGCAGGACCCAGACCTTACACTGGGATTTAGTCAGCGTAGCGACTGCCACTGTTACAAACACTATCACAAACTAAATGCAGTTACTCATAGGGCAGCTGTTTCAAATTATTATAACCTGCCAAAGAAGAAGTGGGAGCACTGATTTATCTCCAATCACAAATTATAATGACAAAGTATATTTGATCTCATTAAAAATGGCGTTTACTAATTCATTTGTGAAAAGCACAAAGATTGCAAATCTTTAATGAACATGAAAACAAAACAGCTTTAATCAATACCTGTCCTGGAAACGGTGGGCGATTTCCTGTCCAGGCAACCTGACTCTGATTTAGCTGGCGAGATATCTGTGTCAGATTCTGGCCTGTTGATGAAGAAGACTGGATGTCGTTCACACCAGGCACATGTACCACAGATGAACTAAAGGAACAGAAACAGTGCCTCATTTATAGGATATAGTCTCGACACACATAGTACTCCAGAGAGGGAAATTTTGATAATCACATTAAAACTAATTGTTCAATCTATCTTAATAAAAATGACTTAAAACCATCACAAAACTATGAAACATACTGGCATTCTAAAATATCAGTTCAAACAGACACAGAGGGCAAAATTACTTTGAATTAAGAGTTCCATATAATCTCTTTGAAAGGGTTTGCCAGGATAAAAATCAGTCTAACGCATGGTGCATAAGCACTTAGCTCCATACTAGTTTAGTATTTAATACATTAAAAAACCTGCTTGCAGAGAGTACTCAAGCAGGTACTTAATTTTAAATTTGTGCTTTAAGTCAACAGTATTTAAGCATTTGCTTAAATGACATCCTAAATGAAGAAGCACAAAAAGATGATATTTATAAGTACTTCTTTATTTGTTTCCTGCCTGGGAAATGAAAAAATGTGTGTTACATATTAAAAAATGGAGCTTTTAATTCAAATTTTCACCAACTGATGCTAGAAAAGAGCATGCAGTTATACACCCAGGCAGAAGAATAATCAAGACAAAAATTTAAACTAATGTAATAGCTTTGGAATTAAATTTAAAAAAGTATTTCCAGAGGAACTTATCTATATGTTAGCTGTTTCCTAATTACTGAATTTCACTACAGAGAAATTTCACAAAAAATCCTAATTAGAAGGAAAATTTTATGAAGGACTGCTCCACTTCATGATTTTATTCTCATGGAAGTCTTGAACAACTGCATCTATATAGCCACACATTGTGAATGTGTTTTTATATATATTTTTTATATAAAAATATATATTTGTCATTTCACATGTCATATATAAATGAATATAAATGAAGACACAACATAGAAAAATGCTTTTGTGCCTCAACTGAAACAGCTTGCCCTCTTCTCCAATCCATCCCTATTGTCTATTTTCACAATCATTTGACAGAGAAAGAAGAGAGCAGATTTAGAAAAGTAGTAAACAAAGCTGAGCAGAGAGGAAGGAGGAATCTGAATCCTCTGAGAAGACTGACAAAATCCCTCCCGGAGTGGTAAGCAAAACGTGTCAGGCATTTGAATATGGGAGTTGTTATTCTGTCCTTCTTAGGCTGCCTAAAAGCAAAGTGTGGGTTAAGAAATTCTTTGTAGAGTTTGTTTTCTATTTTTTTTTCATTTTATTTTTCATTTTTACTACCACAGAGTCTTCAAAGAGGGAAACCTGGACCAGAAAGTCCATCTAAATCTGGCCGAACTCAGAAGCGCACGAGAGCTGCTGGAGAGGGCTGGCACTATTGCCAACACCTTCCCAGCTGGTCTGGCAAGTCCCATCATCTAAGGGTCTTGGACTGCACCTGAAATGGAGACTTGGAAACCAGAAGTCTACAACATAGTGCCTAGAGGCTGCCCAGGCTGCTCAGTGACCAAATGGACCAGCCTGGAGAGCATTCAGGGAGGACAGTTCATCAGGGATGGAAATGCTGGCAGATGTGTCGTTACTTGATGTAATAGAACAGCAGTAGGAAAAAAAGCTATAGTTAAACATCAGGAATTAACAAAGGAAACAAACAAAACACACGTCAAACCTCAAGATGGCAAGTCAACCATCCAGTAACATACATTATCCAATTACAAGACATTTTAATTTACTGTCATATCCCCCCCAAGTTATTCTTGGTTTTAATTTGACAAAACACATGCCCAGGGATTTTATTTCTCCCCACTGAGATTATTAGCAATTATAACTTCAAGAACACATTGGTTTAAATAAAATTATTGTTTGCAGGTGTTTTCTAATTCCTGGAACTTACAGCCTCTGAATGGCTGTTCCTTCACTTTCACAACCTTGGTTGGTCTAAAACAGGAGAATGAAACTTCAGTATCACAGTCCCCGAACGGTGATATGAAAGGCATTAATCAGTGTTACCACACTCTCAAAAAGTGACTGCAAATGCAGGCAAACTCTTAAACTTCAGATGAGATAAATCTGTATTGCCAGCTGGTAGGCAACGACATGCACCTTGAACAACTCTAAAATGCCTTGGAAAATGCCAGACCACCACCTTATGGGTATTTGGAAGCTGCCCTTAGAAAATTACTCAAGCCCGTTTCCCAGCCCTCACCAGGGACTATGGATGAAGCATCCTTCTGTTCCCTTTAATAAGGTGTCCACACTGATATGTCATTCAAGGCAGCCTGCAGAAGTACTGACAGATGCAAGTGCAAAACAAACCTCTGCACCTTCCTACCTTGGCTGAAAGTCCCTCAGATCTCTAAGCCTGCCCCATCACCTCTCAGATTTATTTCCCTTCATGATTTGTTGCTACTTCTTAGCTTTTTCCCAATTACATTATCATAGCAACAAGAATCTACTTACCAGCCACTATTTTTACCAGAGATATCCACATCATCTCAGCTTGCAAGCCTGGCCTAAGGGCTGAGACATCATGTAGGAATCAAGTGTACACAAAGCAAAGTTCATTCATGCAAATAAAGCTCTTGCACCTTAGGTCAGTTTTGTTTCCACTAGACTGAAGATGAACAGTCCCCCACTATCAGACAGAAGCTGATATGTTCAGGATCTGGACTACAGTACCTGAAAGTCTTTCCTGAATGTCCTGGCTGAAATGGGCTTCCCTGTGAGTAAAGCTGCTGGTTTCCTGCTGTGGATGCTGAGGCCATCATTTTTTTATCTGCTACAAAAGAAAAACAAATCACAGAAAGAGAAAAGCTTAGGGGATGAGAAAAGGAAGGCAAAATTAATTAATGAAATCGCAACATACGTAAGCAGAAGGGATTGTTCTTCCCTTCTAAAGCTTGATGAAGAAGCCCCGTGGAACACATTAAGAATGACACAAAAGGGCTATATGACAATTCAGTTTGAAACTAGAGGCACAGCTGGTTTGTGTCTACTTCATACCCTCTTCTCAGGATGTACCTCATTAATGCTATTGTTCGCGTGGAACATAACACTGCTACGTGCCCTCTGGCCACACAGCCCAGACCTTCTCTGTGCCCACTGGAAGCTGCTCCCAATCATGCAGGCAGGAGGGGGAATGGGAGAGAGAGAGAGAAGCTCTGGCTAGGTGGGGAGTGATGGGGGCATGGGTCCCAGCTACAGACTGGAAAGGGAAGCTAAGTTTTTCTGGAAGAAAGATGGGAGAGTCTGCCCAGGGGAATGGAAGAATGCCACATGAAACAAGCCTGGGTCTGAAGAAGGTCTGATGCACGTGCACCTCTGTGGCCTGCCTGGGGATGGCCTTGGGCGAGGACGCATTTCTGGCTCCAGAAGGAGCCCTCCAGGGCTGCTGCTGTTATTGAAACCTCTTTGCACTGAGGTAACGGCCCACATCCTGATGGGTTAAACATCCCAAGGAACAGTGTCAAAGAGCCCCCATCCTAACCAGCTGACAGCCTGTTTCCCTCCAGGACAGCCGTACCCGATGCTTCCGAGCAGCTTGGTGACATACCTGCAGATCTCAGGGTGACTAACTGCAAACCTGGGTGATCCTGCAGCCCCTACTTGCATTTCAATCTCACAGGTGGCTGGAGGCACTTTGCTTCTGAGTGTCTGCAAGATTTACGCACCTGAGCTGCACCAAGGCAAAACATTGGTCTCTCATGGATTTTGCTGTCCTATATGTGGCTTGAGGGAGCCATGAAATAGGATGCAAGCATCCCAGCAGGGTGTAAGACAGACTACTGTAGTGAAAAAACACGCACATGGCGATGCTATTAACTTTTATAGTCTACCCTTAATGTGGCAACTGGAGATCAATCTCTAATTGAACAAAACAAGGTTGGGTTAACAATGCCATTTGGTCCCTTAATTTAATTTTCTGGCACTGAATTATTCTAAAGCCCAGGGAAAACTCACTACTACTACTGTTCTTAAAATAATTTAAAGGTCTACTCCATCTCCCTTTATTCAATTTCCCCCATCTTCCCTTACTACCTCCAAGTGCAAAACACCGTACAACACACTGATGGCTTAGCAACCATCAAAGCTCACCAGAGGCCACCAACACAGGCCAGCTCTTCTCTGGCTTAAGTTCCTTAAGTTCTTACTATGCTATGGTCCTAATAAGAATCTAAGCTCGCCCTCACAAAGAAAAAAAGTCACCTGAAATTACCTCATATTGCCTCAGAGAAGGAACACGTATGCCACTGATGCAAGGTGCCATTGCTTTTCCTCTGTAATATAGAAATTTATAGACATTCCTCACTGGCTACATATCGCCCAACACAGACACCAAGTCTGGGTTGCAAACCTCATTAAAAAAAACAAACAAACAAGGAGAAACAGGGACAAGGTCTAGAGAGGGTTGTGCATGTGGTAGGAGGAACTGAGAATGGGTTGGATTATCTCTGAGAAGGAGGACAGATGACTTTGCCTTTTTTTGCTGTAATATTCTCGCATGAGATCTCCCATTTTCGAAGGGCACCATTTACAGGGATACAAAACTCTCAGGGTTGGAAGAGACTGAGCCAGAATCCTGCGGGTACTTTAGATATTTGAGAACAACTCACTAGCAAAATTGAGAGTGCCCTAAATGAACTGGAATTCCTCAAGTGGAGCAGAGTTGCCATGGCAGCTGCCGAGGTCTGTGCTGCAGGATGAGGCCAATACAAAGGGAACGGCTAAACTGATCTCAAGCAGCTAAATTAGCTTTAAGATCTTTTTCTTGAGTTACACCGAATGTTCTTCAGCCTCCAAATCTGGCCCACACCTCTCCCAGCTGTATTCCCACTCAGGACTTTTTGTACTGCTTCTCTGGTCTCACCTTTGGTACAGCACTGAAAACTTATTTTGCTTTGGTGTTTTACCTGCATCTCTAGACCTGTTTCTCTCTAAATCCTATCACTGTGCTGTGATATGCCCTTCTCCTAGCAGGATCAGTGTTTCCACCTGTAGAATGAAGATCTCTGTAAGAACCGTATTATCTCATGCTTCAATGCACTTGCATGAATGGGTGAAGCCAGGCTTCCTCTCCTCACTTTTGTTTTTAATTATGTGGCCACTGCATGCAATTATGGCAACAATCTCCCTGTGTCAAACCTCTATTTTTACAGAACTTAGCAGAGAATGAGACCGGGTATCAACATAATGCAAATGTCTTGCAGGCAGCATGCAGGTTTGTCAATATTGGTTTTGGACAGTGTATCTCATCTCTAACTGTGAACCATCTCTTTTTATCATCCAGAGAAGACCTTGATCACAGCTCCCATGAGAAATTCAAACAGAGTGAATGTCCCAAAAAAAGCATGGCCTGTAAATTGATAAGAATGAAAAGAGAAATGGCATTTCCAAGAACATAACCTCCCAGTGACCTCACAGCTTGCTAGGCCCTTAACCCTAACCCCTCCCCACAAACAGTTGAGAGCTGCCTGAAAAAGACTCAACAAGGCAGCCAAAAAGCAAGATGTTCTTGCTTGGAAAAACATATTCTGGTGTTTAATATTGGAGTCTTGCTACCTTCTAATGGACCCCTTTTATGGCCTCAGCTGTTGACTTCACTGTTAGAGTAGACAGACAAGGATGAACAGGAATAACAGAGAAGTCCCAGCAACAGGAGGACAGAGTATCAAGTCTCTCCTGCAGTTATAACACCTTCTCCATTTGAAAAGGCCAAGCCAGACATAAGAAACCAATGCAGTGAGGTCATCTCCCAATACCCCTGGAGTCAAACCCTGTGGGTCATTTCCTTCATGCACTGCGTGACACTTGCACATTGATTTATTTAAAACAAATGTACAAACTTCTCTTTTTCAGTGAGGACAGTTAAGAACAATAAACAATTAATAAGTTCTTCCACGAACAGTGGAATTAATGAGCCTAGTTTCCTACAGATATATTTCAGATGATCCCTTCAGCTGACAGTCTTCTCAAGGACTTCTGCCTGTTAGGGCAATAGGCAGCATAGGCTGGGGCTAGTTTGAGTCAGCTACATCTGTCCAACTGACAGGTTGGCTGCTACCTCTTGGAAGAGGGCTGGGAAATCCTTTGGTGAGTGCACTCAGTAAGGACTCTGTAATTTTCATGAAATATAGAAGAACACACTATTTCTGAGACTCCTCTCACTCTTAGGACTTGACAACAAGTTCAAAAGCTGTGGGAAAAAGAGTAAGAACTCACTGACAGGTTAACATGACTGGAGATGCCTCAACTGACCAGAAAACAAGTATATTGTTACACTTCAAGGCAGCATACGCCTCTGAAAGCACCAACGCAGAAACTGGTGATTTGACAAAAAATTGCAGGCCTATCTTAAGACTGGTAACTCTCTTAAACCATATCTATTTAGAGAAATGAACTCACATCTGCTGTTTAAGAAAGAACAACATATACTCAGAAACAGCAAGTTCTGCTCAGTATGCTTAGTATCTACAAACACTGCTTTAGGTGCCCTGCAAAATGAATAGAGAATAAAAAATAGGTACTCTGGAGACATGAAAGCTGTCTTTCCCTCCTTGAATTTACTCTTCATCGTCTTTAGGGAAAATATCAACTAATGGCAAATTCTAGGAAACATCTTGAAGACTGACATTGCTTGGAAATTTCTGTGCCACATTGTAGTTTCTCTTCATTCTCTCGAAGCTGTGCTCCAAATCATCTAAAAAAGCTTAACATAGTATTAAAAATTAAACAGCAGAGACATTCACTTACAAGCAGTGATTCCAGCAAACATCTCAGCAAATCTAGGATCTCTCTCCTGAGAGAAGATAGCATCAGGCTTTTCCACAGACTTTCCACCCTCATGAACGTTAGCTGGTATACTTGGAACAGGCACCTGTTGAGATACACAGAGGAAGGTAATTCCCTCCATCATATTTGACAAAAAGGAATTCAGGGACAGTCACAATGCATTTTTAATATTGCTGAAACCTGACATTGCTTTATGTTTTAAAAGGCCAATGGCACAGAAATCAAAACCTGAAAAATTTCACCTGAGATAAGTCATAGGATGACAGTCCATCTCTTTGATGTACTTCAAGTTCTGCTTGCTGTTGCTGAAGTTGTCTGCAAAGGAGACAAAATGACTCCATTACAAAAACCAATCAAGATACAAAGAAGAACAGCCATGGTCTCCTATTTTTTACTCTGAGAGAAACATCTCAGATGATTTAGTAAATCCTTTCCTGTGAGATTCATTTGTTGTTAAATCTTTCTCACTGAGAAAGCTTGCACCACAGGAATGGAACAGGGCACATGGAAAGTCTTGCTGTAACAGCACAGAAATGTAGGTGGGTAAGTAATGGAGGGTGGAATACCATCTCCCTATAAATGATTTCAGAATTCACTATTAAGACACCAAGAACATCTCCCTCATGTTAACAACAAATATACCTGACCCCTTCACTGATTCTCCTGAAGTAAACAGGAAACCTCCAGTAATATTGATACAGAATTATGCCAGTCAATAAGAAAAAATGATCAAAGCTCTGTCTGAAGCATGACAGACCAAATGGAACAACATGTTGGCATAGAAAAAACTGCATATAAATCCTTCTTTGTAATAAAATTCTACTCTCCTCAGGATCCAAGTCCAGATTCTATTCAATTTTTGAAAGCTTTTAAGGCAGTGAATATCCAGAAATAAATTGCTTGCGCTACTATATAAAATCAAGACATTACATAAAATCAATCTGTGTTGACAAATGCTACAGAAACCACAAGTCTCCTTTTCATGATAATCAGAACTGAATAAAAAATATCTGTTGTTTAAATGAGGTAAAAAAATACTGTAAGTAATAGCCTTAATACAATTATATGAATTTAGGAAAAATTAAATGTGCAGCAGTAATAGAAAAATACTTCAAAAGGAACTGCCAGAGCCAAAAAACTTAAGGGGACATATGCCAGGATGAAGAACTTCGGTGTTGAAAACCCTGTAGATCCTTGAAATGCACTTGATTTGTGTTTAGGGTCAGGCACTGTTACTTAACTATGACAATTAGCCAATATCAACAGATAAAATCATTGGAAGTCATGTGAATCAACTGAGAGGTGACCTGTAGGGACAGCATGCAACTGGTGATAAGTCAGGTATATTCACATTCTACATGTGCAAATATTGCCTATTTATAAAAATGTACAGATCTTTTATATAGTTGTCATATATCCAGCACAGTGATCTGCTGAATACATTTCTTGACCTGCTTTTTTTTAATTCTGAAAGGACACAAGTCCAAATCTCCTAATTTAAAAAGAAATCAGAGACAGTTATGCTAATTGCCGCTACTGGAAATTTTGAAGTTACTGTAACAAAACAACTTCTCCACAGAAAGCCACCGTGTCGTACAATTTATCAGAAATAAAACCCAACCACAGCCAGCACTGTGCCCTCGTGGCCAGGAAGGCCAATGGCATCCTGGGGTGCATTAGAAGGGGTGTGGTTAGTAGGTCGAGAGAGGTTCTCCTCCCCCTCTACTCTGCCCTGGTGAGGCCGCATCTGGAATATTGTGTCCAGTTCTGGGCCCCACAGTTCAAGAAGGACAGGGAACTGCTTGAGAGAGTCCAGCACAGAGCCACCAAGATGATTAAGGGAGTGGAGCATCTCCCTTATGAGGAAAGGCTGAGGGAGCTGGGTCTCTTTAGCTTGGAGAAGAGGAGGCTGAGGGGAGACCTAATTAATGTTTATAAATATGTAAAGGGCAAATGTCATGAGGATGAAGCCAGGCTCTTCTCAGTGATGCCCAATGATAGGACAAGGGGCAATGTAAGCTGGAACACAGAAGATTAATTTCAGAAGAAACTTCTTTACAGTGAGGGTGACAGAGCACTGGAACAGGCTGCCCAGGGAGGGTGTGGAGTCTCCTTCTCTGGAGATGTTCAAAACCTGCCTGGACGCCTTCCTGTGTGATCTCATTTAGACGATCCTGCTCCGGCAGGGGGATTGGACTGGATGATCTTTCGAGGTCCCTTCCAATCCCCAACATTCTGTGATTCTGTGATCCTTTTGAAACAAAAGGCAAAAGTGCTACTGCTGCATTAAGACCAGAATTTTACCATTAGAATGTGAACTTAGGCTTTCTTGTTTGGACTTACACCATGCCCACGTTGGGTCACTAGGAACCTCACTTGTCTGAGCATAGGTTTGTGTAATTGTTTGCAGACAGACAAGCCCAGCTTTGTCCCAGTGCTGAGCTGGGACAGCAAAGCATGAGAGCCACGTGATTGTGCCAGCACAACGCTGGGTTTGAGCTGCAGCCTGACGAAGCACCAGCCCTGAACAGCATGGCCACAGCATCACCTTCACTTCAAAGCTTCGTGTTGAAAGCAGCTTACAGGCAACAGGCCAGCTGACAGGCAGGCACAACAACTTGAGATTTCCCTGTAAAAAGGAAAGGCTCTGCCATGGCCCTTGTCTGAGGAAGCATCACTGCCACAGAGAAGGCAGAATCCCCTGCTCTGGCAAAGGTCAAGACCGTGAAGGGCACTGAATCAGTCTTTTGGGTGAAGCTGGGAGCTGGCTGGTATTTCAAGGTCTCAAGAAAGACTGCCTATGTAATGATAAAAAAAACCTGAGCAGCTGAGAAATTAAATATTTTGCACCTTCCATTAACCTTTGCTTTCTGTCACTAGGTCACAAACAGCAAGATTACTTCTGGCCTGAGGATGCGCTGGTAGCACACTGTCTCTGTGAGGCTCTTCGCTCAGTTAGTAAAGAAGATACAAAACCCCCCAAATTATGCTAAAGCTCAGAGATCAGGATAAGAATGGAACTGGACTGACAAGAAAGTAAACTTGACACCTGGAAATGATCCCTGACAGTGGTCACTGTTTTTGTATGCTTCTGGCCTCTTTCTGAAGGAAAAAAATCACCTAATGGACAGGAATTACACACCACGTGGGTGTTCCCCCAGAGAAACACTGTAATGTGACAGCCGGTAAAAGATGAGATTTTGCAAAGCAGCAAGATCATAGACTTAAAACTCTGAAAAATTAGGATACATTTTTGTCCATAGGCTTGAATTTTACATTTTTATCCAAATCTTCTTTTAAATTTTGAACTAGATAAATGTCAAGGGACTGAAAGGTAAACTTGCAGGCAAAGGCAAATGACAAATCAGGCACAAACTGATGGGACTGTGAAGGACCACTCAAGCTACTGAAGTAACAGATTTTTCCACCCCTTGATGCTTTTCCAGAAGACACTTTGCTCAGACATCAGTTATTAGGCTCCATGGCAAATGGGACAAAAACTTGTGACCTGCAACAAACAGAAGATTGGAGTAGATGGCTGAAAGCCTTCTGCTAGCCTTATGGTGTAAGAACACATAATACACAGAATTACTTTTGTGCTGCAAGTAACATGCAAAAAAAAGTCGTTAGAGAGCCATGGATTTTCCACATTATTTTAGACAACAGAAAATTCCTAAAAATTATCTCTGGAATGCAAAGAAATTCTTTGTTTGCAAGCATAAAATGCATACTTTTCCAACAGAACTATGGGAGGTAATTCAATCATGGCAAATCTATGGGGAAGTTTTTCTAAATACCACCCTGTGGACAATAAACACCCATTAAACCCTGTTGTTAATGTGGAAGCTAATTACACTATTTCATTTGTTTTTATTACCAAAGACTTGGTGTGTGTGTCAATAAACAGCACATTAGGTCTCTGCTGTTCCGTATAAAGTATGTTTTCTTGATTCAGCCATATACATACAAATGAGCCAAACCAAACAGCATACTTACTAGTTATTTGTTTTGTAGGCACTTCTTAGTGCTCCTTCACCCTTCTCTATCTTTCATCTCTAATACTTGTTAAGCTGCAGTACAATATAAATACCACATCGTGTTAACAGCACTTAACTTTGGGAACAACCTCCCAAATCCATTTCCTATAAAACCCAAATACTTAAGTGTATCTTCACTGAACTCTGTGCAAGCTATACTGCACTTAAGATTGAAATGGAAAGTCAGGTTAGCATCTTCTGCTGTTGTTTGCTGCTGCTGCTGCTGTATAAATAGTTCAAATGATGCCTGGTAACTGAAAAAAAAACCCGTGAAGCAATTCATGGACCAGCCGACCAGGGAGAGCTGAGCGCTGCTGCCACGGCTGCCATCTAACCAGCCCCTTTGACTGAACAGTCAACACATGCAGGTCCCTTCAGTCACCCAATTGCTAGATCATTTTTGTAAAGGTGACACAGAACAAAAGCTTAACACCAGTTTGGGCAAAACTCAAATTGCCTTCTGACTTTGAAACCAAACCCCCAAATTATCCTTCGTTTCAATTTCAGTTTCACAGCTTCAAGGAGTAAATGAAAGAGAAATTTCCTGGCTCTACAGGATACCCAACATAGCAAGTAAGGTATTATTTGGGTCAACAGAGGACGTTGCCTGTACTGCAGACCTCCTGGCTCACCCACAGGTTCAGTATGAAACTGGGAAAAGCCTTGGCTTGAACAAGGAATGGTTTAGCAAATCTACATGTTCTGATAGTTAATTCAGATTTATTTCAGTGAATGTATTTGGAGGAAAAAGGAAGATTCTGTGAAAGTTCCTTTGACATTGGAGAGGATTTCAGCCAAATTAACCTCTCTCTATGAACACCGAAGTCACCTGTTCATTTTCCAGGCATCAGAGTAACTAAAAAAGGATTTGAACTTGAAAATTAAGAGTCTCTGTGGTGGAAGTGAAACAATACTGCTGTATCCCTAACAAGCTATTTTCATGTAATACAGGCACACGTGCTTCCTTTGTCTGGTCTGGACAAAAAGGCAGCAATAAAAGCCTTGGGGCTGCCATTGTAAAATCCTCTTTCAGAAACTCTTGAAATCCCCCTCTTTTTAGCCTACAGTTTCAAAGTCACCCCTGTGAAAGGGTCTGTCTTACACTGGCCTTGAGGGATCAGATAGCCCACAGATGGCAGGGGGATCATGAGAAAGTAAGTCTTTAGCACCACTACCATAGACTGGAATTTTATCAGAATAGTTGATCTCTTTAGTATTTTGGCCCATGAGAATCTGAAACAGAAAGCATCTCTCCCACAAGCGAGGGCTGATTCATCTGACAGGCTGCCTCCAGCAGCGACCTGTGCCAGCAAACTCTGAGACAAGAATCTTGAGACTCAGGACAACTATAGGATTCATAAATCCACACAGTGCACCATAGGACTTTAGGGCTTACAAAAATGAAACATCAAAATTTCCATAAAGGTCAGAAAAATATCTTCCTTCTATGTATACAAAGACTTTTATATAGTTTTATCTATCACCATGACAGATTATTTTATTCAAATGTTGCTCTATGTGTATGTTAAATAAACGTTGATCACAAGAATTATTTCTTTTTGGAAATCAAACAGTTCCAACTACACAGGAAGATGTGGTCAAATGGGGGAACTCTTCTTTTCAGCTGAACCCATTGCAAATGCTAAATGTTAAATGCTTCATTTCTCCAGGAAGTTTCTCTTGGATGACTACACCCAAGTGAAACAGAGAGAAGTTTTCTTTTCTTTTTTTTCTGCAAGGAACTATGTGAACATTTGAACCTAATGTTTCATTATCCTTCCGCACCAAATGCAAGTTTAGAAAGTTGACTGTTTGAAGCTCCAGAGGAGTATCTCTTAAAATAAAAAAGAGAAAAAAAAACAAAACAAACAAACTGAAACAATAACAAAATAATAATCAATTAATCCCTCCACAACTGGAACCACCACTGCCCTCTACAGTCTTTTGGGAAAATGCTATTCTCTGACCAATGCAAAACAAGAGCTGTTCTGTTAACAGACACACAGACGTACATACTGTGGCTTTAAACTATCCTAAGTTAAAAACCTACAACTTTTGGCTACATTGACTTTACAATTTCATGATGAATTTTTAACTGCCCCAAACCTACATTTTATGGAGCTGGCTAAGTTATCACAGACAAATCAAAGTTCATCTCTGGGCAGAACTGCCTACAACTGCGCAGTGGAAGGCACCCTGCTTGGTCTCCACATGAAGCACTTTGCTTGAACCAGAGCATCTGATACTTCCACCGACACGTAAAGATGGCCACATCCACTGGGGTTGGTGCCGAACATCTAGCCCCAGCAGGAGCTGAATGAGGAGGTGGAAATCAACAGTTACCATGACGTACAACTCCTCAAGGCATTTAGGAAATCAGAAGTCAAAACATGACCTCAAATGTGCTAAAAAAATAAATAAGTCCAGAAACCGGCAGGAACAGCAGTACATTACAGTACTCTTTGGAAATCTGAGAAGTGGGAGAGAACAGGGTGAAAAACTGAAAACAGTTTGAATAATACATTCTTTCTACTATTCAAAGCAGACGTATAATGGGTTGTATCTTGCCATAAGACTAGAACATTTTCAACATGACAGGAAAGAGGGAACATCCTCTGTCAAAGTAGCAGCAGGCAACATCCATATTAGGTCAACATTTCTGGGTTGTTATTCAAACCTAGTAAGAGAGAGATAACGGGAGCCAGAAGCTGGCACAGTCCTATTCATCACAGTAAGTGCTGCAATGCCAAGCTGAACTGTATAGTGGAGGCTCGGAAAAAAACATTCCCAGAGTCAACACAACATCAGTCTACAGCCCCTCTTTTTGATCTGTGTGCTCTTGGGAACAAAGCATAATTAAGGCAGCCTGGGACAAATTTCAGAAGTTGCTTTTTATTTTGCAGGCCTGTTTCTGCATATACAAATTATTTGGAAGAGAAATATGGGACAGCAGAAATGTGGAAATATCTATTTTGATGCACAGTGCAGACAGGGAGACATTTAGCTGTCTGATTTCGAGACACATTTGCTTGTTTTCAATGATCTTAACTATTCAGTTGTTTAAGCCCAACTTTTTCGGTATGCAGAGAAAACTGAGCAAAACAATTGTGATGCTGGGTTTCAAGTGAGTGAAAGCACAGCCCTTCTAGTCCATGCATGTGTCACGTCCAAAAGAGCAAGTCAAGGAACACCCAGAGACACTTACTAGCTTTTTAAGTTCAGATGCCAAAGCCCTAGGGGTTTGTTTTTGCTCTCAGCATGTGCTATCTCCACTAGTAGACTGCTTGTTCAGCATTTCCACTATACAGTCTAACAGGTTGAGATCTTAAAACCAGTAATTTCCTCTGAGCTAAAAACTTGGCAAAAAATCTTTGGTCAGACCAGAAGGAGATTTTGGTTTAGAAATAGATTAAGTTTATACTGGAAAGAAGAAATATTTATAAAAAACTCCCACACTATAAAGCAATGACTTTACAGTGTGAGCCATTACAGCTAATGGTCAGATTAGCTTCTGCAGTTACTGGCTCAGAACTTGGGAGGCTCCAAAAGCTTCTCTGCTCAGTTACACAGTGATGAACCTCCACTGTACTCTTAGGGTGACCTCCTCCTAAAATGTCTAATGACAGACTTTTGAAAATATTAATTCAAAGACAGGATGATTTAATTTCCCTCTTAAGATAAGAGGTTGGATCTGTCCCCATACTCATGGATATTCCACCAGATCTCAACTGAGTACCAGGAACCCTTCCCACTCAAGCCTACTAGGAAATAATTTTACCAGCTTTCATAGGCCAGAGGAGTAGGCACAGCTCAAGGAGAAGATACCCAGGACTGCAGAAAAGTATGAGCACAATGAACAGGAACATGCAATTTTCTCTTTGGATTAGGAATCAGGCTAACCTTGCTCCAATATCAGGACAACTGGTCTGCTGCTGGAAGCTCTGTGCTAGTTTAAGGCAGCCTGGACTAAGATCAATGGGCTTGTCTAATGACGTAACAGATAAGTGATGTTTCTCCCCCAGTGCAGCCAGGCCCTGGAAGCATCACAGGATAATGATACAGAGAAACAGCTATGCTGTGAGATCTCAGGATGCAGGAAAACCCTGTTACAGACTGTACTATTGTAGAGAAACAAATCTAGGTAGGAACAGGCTACCAAAAAATCAGTGTGTGCTTTACAGCAAAAAGCAATGCTTAAATTCTTTCAGAAACATGTAAAAGCATCTGGAAAGGGACATACTTTACATTAGTGTTGGTGCAGATGATGTATTCAATCTCATCGGAATAAGGATTCTGAAATGTGAAGCTGCTGGTTCTGATCAGCATCCATTCCCGGTTTTTGGTACGAAAACGATACATTACAGACAGGACTTGACCTTTCAGTTTCACAACCTGCAAAACCATTTGGAAAGGTTAACAAAAGGTGATTGCTACCTGCTGTGTACATGAATAGTAAACAGCAATAACTGGTGTGTTTTAAGCTTGAATTACAGAAAGTTATGGACACAGCAGTGAGATTCTTAATTTGAAGAGATTAAGAAAAATCTAATTCATGTTTGCAGCTATTTCCCTCAGAATAAAATTCTCATTCTTTGTTGTAGAAAACGCCATTTTTCAGCCTGTGTATAAGAAGAATTTCAGAATTTACAGATTCAGGACAATCAACAGGTTGTGCTGTTATCCCAACAGCGAAGCTTTAAGGACGTTCTAATGTGGAACGCTTATTGAGAAATTGATAGAAACCAAACTGAGGATCTTTAAAATGTCTATATGTAAACCATAAACCAAACATTGCAGCTGAAACAAAAGCCCACAAGAAAAAACATTCTGAGCTTGACTATCTGCTTTTCTGCTAGGATACCTGGCTATAAAATCCATATATATGATACACCAAATCACATATCAGCATCAAAATTTAGTATAATACTTGAGAAAAATGACATTTTAGAAACCATACATGGTGTTAGGTGTTCCTGCTCCATCAGGGGAATTGGACTAGATGATCTTTTGAGGTCCATTCCAATCCCCAACATTATGTGATTCTGTGTGTGATTCTGTGGGGGTTTTTGTTTGTTTTTTGTTTTTTTACCTGAACACAGTACAAGACCATCTATGATGGCAAAGTGCTAACAAGAAACACTTGCTTCTGGCTTTCAAAACAAGAAAGAGCAAGCCAGCCTTTGAATGGAGAACACACCAATAAGCCATTGCCTATTTCAATAGTATTAATGAAAATGGAGAGCAAATTCTTTGCTTGGACACCCCATTTGTTAATGACTAAGAATTCAGATGTCTGGCAATACTCAGTTCGAATTCTGTCTTTGGCACCTGAAATTTTGTTAAAGTCAATAGTTGGGCATCAAGTGAGAAGACAGACACAGCCAGCTAAAGAAGCATGCTCAAAACAATACAGCTGGTGCTGTAACTACAATTTATGTGTTATCTAACAATCTTGGTTTAAGTCAGAAGAAAACTCACATGGTTTCAAGTCATTCAGCTGGCACTTACCTGGGCTATCTGTGTTTATTTTTTATTGCTTTTCCACCAGGCTACCCCAGGGGTGCCTCAGGGAAGGAAAGGGAAGGTCTACTGCAAATAAATGCCACATCTTGTTGTGGTTTCTTAATCCTTATCCACTGGAATTTTTTTTTTTTTTTTATTAGCTACCTGCAGCTTGTATTTGCAAAAAGTAGAACACCAGGTATTTACCCTCTGTCTTTATTGACAAGGAAAAATTCTCCAGTCCTGTTTTTCCCAATGTCTGCATTTCAAATTGATCAACTGGATACAGGATTAAAAGGAAAGAATGCAAATACAAGACACAAAAAGCTTTAGCAATGCCCAGGAAAGTTCAAAATAATACTGAGGTAAATGTCTTCTTTTTTTTTTTTTTTTTTCCTTTTTTTTTTTTTTTTAAATGCTTTTGTAGTTTGAGTTCAATGAGCAACATTCTTTTATCAGCAATTTTGTACTACCACACCCAGGGTAAGAAACACAGAGCTTGTGTAAAAATGTCCAATCTGAATGGCATCCTCCTGGATATCAAATAGCTGTATTCTGGATCCTTTGATACTGAACTCTATTTGTTGATCTTGGCCTTGAGACTATCTTATTCTGTCCTGATTTTCCCACCCTGATGAATGAATTTATCTTCCCAAGGAAGTAAAAGCTTTGAGATGGATATTGGCAATTGACCAAAAACTGCAAACCCCTCCCTCCCCTCCTCTGTTATGCACCAACCAGGTTCTGATACTGTCAGCAAATTAGAAATGCCAAGTTTTCAGAGGGTTTTAGAAAAAAAGACATTGTTGCAAATCACAGTTACCTTTTTAATGAAAAGATTTCTAAGGCCAAACTAACAATAGTAAAACAAACTGCAGTGATCTATTGTCCTGAAGTCTGAATTAAGCAAACACTAATTCTGTAATAATATATAAAGCATAGAGAGTGCTGGTGGGAAAATCCTGAACTGTCTGAAAACAGTGCACACAAACAAGATAGCTCAAAAAATTTCAAAGCTAATGTTTAACCTTTACTTTCTTACATTCTTTGGAAATAAAAACCACCCAGTATATAGCTTAACTGTTTACTTCAGTCTTTTATTGCATTTTATAGCCCCAATCACACTGCTACTGTACTGAACAAAAATACACTGAAAAAAGGAATTGCCTACTAAAGAAACACCGCAATATTTTCAAAGATTGGACACAGGTCAAGTGAACAGGAACTTTCATTTCTAATCTGCATTTTTTCCTGCTGTCTTTTTGTATGACCTTAAGCAAATTATTTAAGTCCCTGATCCAGTGAATCATTTATGCACATGCCTAATAGCGAGTAGTGACAGTGAAGTCCCCAGCAACTGAGTTCAGGGATACACCAGCAGCCTCCCAAGGCCTGATCTCACCCTTGGTGAACAGAGTGAGGACCAAGTCATTAACCTGAATGTTAGTTAGTAAGCCCTTCTGTGCCCCAGGCTATCACTTCAGAGATGTTTGACGTGTTATTATGCAGCAGCTCTCTGTCATTGTCTCTTGGCTAAATTAGTGGAATCAATCATTTGGACGTTAGTGAAAACCAGCATATGCTTCCTCGCTGCTCTTCTTGTGCCACTGATGCAATCAAGCCCAAGTTCAGGGAGCTGAAGCTAGTCCCATACAAAAGCATTTAGTCCCTTAGCTAGCCTACCCAGCAAGTCTGTGTTAATATCTGTGCTAATAACAGGACAGCAGGAAGGGTGGGGAGGAGGTCAGGGAGGAGAGAAGAGGGGGAGTAGGACCTGACTCATGGTGACAACTACCCATCAGGTAGGTTCAGCTGCAGCACTACACTCCCAACCAACGCGGGGCAGAGAAGATGACTTGGTGTGGTGACCTATTTCAAGTGCCAACCTCTCACAGGCTCCTGCCTGTGAATCAGTATCTTGAATTTAAAAGGTGCTGTTTGAACTCAGTCCATTCAAGGGACATGAAGTGGATGCAGAGCACTCACAGAGTCTATTCTGCTAGCTCATCAGTGGGGTTGGTAGTGTCTGCTTGAGGGAGGGGGTAGTGAGAAATAGTTCAAGAGTACTGATAATCTTACAATATCTCAAACACTTCTGTAGAGACCATAACCTCAGTTTCACAATCTATTCTATGGACACAGAACAGCCTTTAGTTGTTTTCCCCAGAGAGGCTTTTCAAGCTCTGTTTTTGCATGCCATGCCTGAATAAATAGTTGGCTATACAAATCATTTTAGAAGCCACTTCATATCCATGTTTCACAGCTGAAAATACATCTCAGCATCCAACGCAAGACAGATCAACAAAACCTGGCTGCGCTATCGGCTGTTGTCAGAAAATGTGGAACCACTTAGATCACCTGAACCTCAGTAACTGGTTAAACATGGTACACCATGCTTTCTAGTACAGCAGGGAAGTTGTTGTAGAGACCAGCAACAAGCAGAAGGCTTGGGGAAAGCACTCCTGCTGTATGTCCAGATCAATTTCAAACAATAAGCTCTACAATGGAATAAATGCCTTTGATGTAGCTGATGTAAACGTGGTCCACTGTAAAAAAAAAAATCCAGATAACTCTTTTGATATGTTGTATTTCTTTTGTTATTCCTGTCTGCATTTCAATTCCTAACAGGGAGAAGGGCCAAATTCTCTATTGATGTAAAGTGGTGTAACTCCATTAAAGTATGAAGCACGTCATCTATGCTGGCAGAGAATTTAGGTCATAAACAATCCAGCATTACAGTAGGTTGTAACAACTTCCAGAACAACAGCCCATCTTAGAAGGTAAATACTTTTGGTTACCACTTAACATTGTGGCATAAAATACAGGCATCTACCAAACAGCTCTGTGCACTGAACACTCATTTAATTTTTTGTAAGAAGACAACAAAGTGTATAACTAAGTGACTTATTTCTGAAAAAACAGCAAACAGATGCTGCAGTTTACTATTTATGTAGCTTAACTCATTAGTAATTGACCAACAAATTGTTTCATATCTTGCCACTCCTCCTGCATAGCAGAAAAAATATCTTGAAATTAAAAATAAAAGCTACTTCTCTGAACAAAATAGTAACAATAACAATAATAATAAATAAATGGTAGAAGGAGCAGGATGCAGCACCTGTTGGAAACTCTCCCTCAAATGGCTTTGATCTTCGGGATGGCAGAATTCTAAAATATCTTTCCCCAGAAGATCCTAGAATAAAACATAAAGCTATGTAAAAAACCCAGATCACAACACTAATCCACATGCAGATCTGCAAGTAATCCTTGCAGACAGACGCTAGATGTACCGCCCTTAATGGGACTACTCAGTTAATCGGGGAAGAATCATACAAACAAGGTTTATAGGCATCATGTCCCACACTATATTAGTACTGTTGCATAGATATATGTATTTACAAACAAATTTTAAGTGCTTTTTTAAATGCCTGTGAAATGGTATCTTGAAGAGACAAACATCCTCTACTACAGCTCATTTTATGGCACTAATTTTTGTAAAAACAGTTACTATAAAGCTACCTAAAATCAAAATAAATGGGAAAATTTAATGAGGAAGAAATTATTTTTCCCTGTAAATTGCAACTGCTGATGGTTATCTGAGGGAATGTTGTGGCAGTGAGGAGATCATTTACTATTCTACTCAGATCTGTAACTAGCCTCCTATTCAGAGGAGCAGATGTAAGCCTAAAGGAAAACAGATACCATAAATGATGTTTGCTTACTGTTCAATAGATTGGCAGAAGTAAAAGATCTACAGGACTAAAACTCTCCAAGCACTGTTAACTTTCTATCATAGAAATGTCTTCACTGGAAAGCTGTGCAAGGTTTAATTTAAAGTATCTTCCTGTTATAATTCTAATCATATCTAAAAGGTATAAAAAGATATCCTACATAACAAAGGGGAAAACTATAAATTTTACAGAGGCATGGACAGTAAAGAAAAATTAACAGCATTTCGTGCACAACATATGAATTATCAGCTGCAAATATTTCAAGTTTTGCTGCCTTTTTTTTTTTTAATATGGGAAACATGGAAACAGAATTTTCTTCATCAGCTCTAATCAGTCTTCACAAGTACAGTGACTCACTGACCTGTGGCTGGTAGCCAATGACGCTGATGCACCTTGGGTCGACAAAGGTGATGACTCCATCAGAATTGTGTCTAGACAAGAACTCAGTTGGGACTGACATGCCATTCATGTCCATGCACACTGGAGAGCTAGTAACCTAGGACCAATTAAATCCACAGCACTTAGTCCACAGAACAGTCGAAGCTGATTACATAGCTAAAGAATAAAACCTGTTGGCAGACTGCTATCTACTGAAGGAAGTCATAAATAAGACAACAGCATGAATAAATGATACAGAACAGCCTTTAGTCTAGTTTGCAGTGCAAATATTGCACCCCATGGCATGTATCTAGGATTAACACCACAGCAAGAAAACAAATACACCAGAGGTTCCCAACAAGAAGGGATAGAGTAAGGATTTAAGTATGGTTGGATTCATCTTACTCTGTGGGACCACATTAAAGTTTGGCATCTTGGTTCCTACCCTTGTTAACCAAGAATGAGAGACTTCCAGAGGAGAATTCAACCCACCCATTTTAGGATGGGAAGGTCAATCTCTACAAGAAGACAAGTCATTATCTGTAAACATATCCAACAGGACTACCTCAGACTAACACTCAACTTTCAGGTGAAGATCATCTGAGAACACGCAGAGAACCTGAAAAAAGTTCTCCAGAGACTAAGGTAGGTGATGATTTTGGACCAGCAAGTGGCTGCTCAAAATGAAAACACACACTTCTGTAAATATCAAAGCTCATCGGAGAGAGTGATGTGATTTTCAGCAATCTGCTTGAAACCTGTGCAATCAGGCCACTTCATATCCATTCATTCCTACTGGGGCTATAAATGAGACCACTGTTTTTCTTAGAACTTTCAGAGTCATCTCTGTTAACAAGGTCCCAATGCAAAAGGAGCAAAACCTAATATTATTGCTGCTGTCTTGAAGCAGATTAGCCAGTTAACTGTATGCAAGATTTCAATTTGCTGTTACAGAGCAGAGTTTATAATTTGTGCACCTTGACTCCTTTGTGATTACACTCATCCCCAGAGCCTCCTCCTGCCCTCCTTCACATACCCTGCTGTCTCTTCTAATGTAACAGATGTTTTGACACTCCGCATGTTACTAATGTGATTTTCTCAGAAATCATCTTTCTTTGGCAGCTGTAACACATGAATCCCCACAACTTCCTTCTCTCCATCAGTGGAATATATCACCCTTGATTACAAAAGCATGATTAACCTAAAAAAATATCATGCAACACTTCTGTAGCTCTGCCATCACAATTCAGACATGCTCTGCAAAAGAGCCAACACTTGCAGTAACGTGCAGGCTGTTCACCTCAAATAAGATGGGTTTGTCACCTGTGCTCTAATGAAAGGGTCATTCTCCCTTGTAAGAAGGAATGATGCCATCCTAGCAGATGGCAACGAGTGCAGGCCAACAGAAGATCAGGCAGGAGGCTCAAACACGTTCACCCATGGCAGAATTCCCAGTCCAGGAAGACAAAAATTAGCTTCCCTGCTGTGGTGGAGATTCACCGCAACTGGTTTAGCTCCCGCTCAGAACTCTTGTCAGCAATGGACAAAGGAAGAAAATGTAATACATCAATTGCAACCATCTGGGCAAAAAGGAAGTAAAATTTTACTCTCACAGTTCCCTCAGCTGACATCACATCTGAATGCACACTACAATACACAGTGAGAATAAAGCTATTATTTCTGAAGTGCCTCTTGACTGCCTTATCTTTACCATTTGCAAAATAACTCCTGCAATCACAGTTTTTAAAGGAGTTGATTAGCCAGGGAGAGAAAATGAATGAAAGAATAGCAGGGAGCATGTCACTGGCTTTGGGAGACACTTTAACCTACCATCTGCAGCACCTGTACTCCCACATTTCTCACAATTGAGAAGATCTCAGCCCTATGCACCCTAGAGAATAGCAGGTCTGTACATGCTCGTGCTCCAGGAGTATTTTTGCCACTGTTGTTGGGTTAAATACACATATGCACCAAACCCACAATTTCATTTTGCTCTGTTGACGTGGTCTAAACAAGTCCTGCCCATGGAAGGGTGGTTGGAACTAGATGATCTTTAAGGTCCTTTCCAACCTAAAATCATTCTATAAATCAATGGCTGTACATCGACATCAAGGTATTTTGTATTTCGGAGGCATGTTAAAAGTTACAGTCTAGTACCAGAACCTTGTGCAAACTCTTAACAACTAAAGCACAAGACCGATTATGCTTTCAGAAGCAGTTTATATAAGCAAAGACTGGCATTACCTGAAGCCTTCCTATTGCCACAAGGCAATATTTACTACCTTGTCCCACATCAGCATCTTCTTCTGGTATAGTCATCCCTAGAGTAAAAGATAAGAAATATTGTTATAATCAGGAAATCTGGACGAGCAGAGACACTGCTGGCTTGGTTCAATACTATTCTACATGCACCAAATCATTTAAAATATCTTTATTGTCTTCTCTAGGATTCAGGCATTATCTCTAGGTTCATATCAGATGATCCTTCTCAGTTGTGCTTGATCCTACACACCTCACATGTATATACAGTGCCCACAGCAGGATTTTTGGCTGCCGAGGACAAAGCAGATAGAAAATTTCCATTAGACACTAAGACAGACAGTAACATTGTCACAAGTACTGCTCTGCAGCATGTCACTGGAACCATGTGTTCACATAATATGGTCAGTGAGTGCAGACTATGTTTGGTTTTCTTTGTGAATAATATATTATAATGAGCCTTAAAAACAAGGCACAGCCTAGAATATTCATTAACTTCATGCTCATATTTAACAGCCGTTTTTACTTTTTTCTATAATGGACTAAGTCGGGCTTGTTACATTGAAAGACTGAAAGTTGAAAGACTGAAAAAATGCAGTGCTTGTTTCAGAACTACTATAAACACAGGAATAATTTCAAAACATACATGTGTACTGTTTTCCATCTCAGTGTTTCACAAATAGGAACACTCAGATTAGCTCTGCTTACTTGCTAGTTGGCTAAGTCTTTAGTTAAGGCTATTTCCCAACTCCAGTTTTGAGATATCAATTTCCTATGAAGCATTTGGAAAAAAGAAAAAAAATCTACCAAGAGTGACACCACTGACTTATTTTAAGTGATTCGTAAACGCTTTCACAAGGCTTTTCAAGGAATTCAAGTCACAACAGGCAGTGAATCATTTAAGAGGCACTTTAGAGCATTAATGAAATTAACTGCAAAGCATCTACCAATTACAAAACAACGGTCACTTTGTTATCAAAACTTAATGTAAGTCAATCTTTGGACCATGCAGAGGATGACAGCATACAACTTTCTTAAATGATGCCTCTGAAAAATGATTATAAATGCTGCAGAAAGAACTGAAGTAGTCTCCGAAGGAAGTTATTTTGTACCAAAATAATTGAATCTTATCTGACAACCAATTTCTAAATAGCACTCTACAGGTATTTTTCAGTTCCCATCGAGCTATTTAAAACATATGAAGTATGAAAGAAAAAAAGTCCCATATTTTTGAATAATACATTCAAACTTTAGCTGCAGTGGAATTCACAATTTTGGGGGTGCAACTTCATTTGCAGCCCCTGACAGATAACTAGGATTTTATCAGGGGATCTCAAGAGCTTTAGAAAGGAGGAGCATTATTGGCCCTTCTAACAAGTGGGAAATTGAGGTGCAGTACGAATTTTAATGTCCCACACTACAAGAGCTGGGAAAACCCCTTTGTCTTCTATACAATAATATTGCTATCCAGAGATACAAATTTGGCCCTAAATAACTCCTTAGCTTCTAAACCTGCATGATATCCCTCCCCAAATGCTGAGATACTCCTCTGAAATGTTTTCTTAGAAGCTGTATGAGAAGGTCAAGGTGGTAGTATGTGACCTTAGGAGTACATTTTCAGAAATCAATCATTAAACACATAAGTTAAAAATAAAATTAGGTAGAATCGACACATGTTATTTTGCAATTAAACATTACTTTGTTCTTCTGATAAAAGGTCCCTCTGTGGGTTACTATGGATCCAAACTTCCACTTGATTTAGAACATCCTTGAAATGAAGACAATCTGCATTTATCCTCCCTGTGGGACTGTTCTGCACTGCCTCCAGTTTATCAGTTTATCCTTCAAGTAGTTAAATTACAAAGCGATGTTTCAATATTTCACACACCGCTATTCCAGTCTCTTTTCTGCTACATGCTAGGCAAACCACTAACAAGATCCCAAACACAAATTAAGTCCTATGCTCTGAGACACCAGCATACCACAGAGAGCATAAACCACTGACATTAAACTACAGTTAAGAGATTCATATTACACAAGTATTTTGTTTTCCTTCCTTGCTGTGTTGACACACAGTTATTTCTTCAATATAAGACTTAGTAATTAGCTAATGACAGCTCCAATAGGCAAAGAAACTAAATTTGGCTGCCTCTTGAGAAAAGAGAGAAAATTACCCTGAAAAAGCAGCAGCAAACATATCTACCCCAAATTGTGTCCACTTATGAAAAAATTTTGTCAGACACATGGCTGCTATCTGCTCACGTACATGTGGGGCACAGGGAAGATCAAGCTCCCAAAATTAAACCTAGATTCCTCCCCGTGAACAATTTGTATTTTAAATAGGTAGAAAATGGTTAACTGAAAACTGTGTGCAGTTTGCAAAGGATGAGAAGTGAAATCCAACAGTTTCACCTGACAAAGCAGTGACTGGAGGTGTGAATTGAGAGCAGGAACAGTTAAATGATGCAGAAGTTTAGGAAGGAGCACACTGATGCTGACTCTGCTGTGAAAGAAACGCAGCAGCGTACAAAAATAACCACAGGAGGAAAGAAAGCACTACAGCAGGTGAAGAGTGGACCTAACACTGTGGCTCGAAGATGGCAGCAAGGACTGCATCCCTTCAGGAGATAGATGAGGAGTCTCTCCTGAACTCAACACCTGAACTTCAAGACCTCCAAGTTCAACTGAGAGCTGAAAGACCAAATATTTAAAAACAGTCATGGTTACATTTAGACAGCTCGGTGCAGGTGGTCTGATTTCAAAGATGGTGAGTGATTCTGGGTCCTACCACCTTCAGAGGATTTCTTGGTGGATGCCTGCTACTTCTGAGAATTAGCCCACTTAAACACAGGGGCCTAAGTGCTGTTTTAAGGAAATAATTCTAGGCATTCTAGTTGGATAACCTTAACCAAAAGGTCCCTTTAAAATGGAGTTTTCCATTTGAGAAGGACAAATTTAAAGTATTTTCCCTTGACTTCAAAAGCTTTTTCAATCGTTTCCTTAGCGGCACAGTGTATTGCAAAGGACAGTAAAGATACTCAGCTGGATGGCTTCCACTTTGCACAGTATTTTTTCTGCAGCTTTCAACAACACTTTCCTTTTTAGGAATTTGGTCCATGCTTGCTATTGCCCAAATAAACTCAAAGCAACATAAATAATCTCCCAAATTAAACTGAGCTCAGAAACACCATTTCTGATGTCACTCTGTTGGGAAGGGAGGCTGTTGTTCTAATTTCCACCTTTTTTTTTTTTTGCACCCTGCAAGATGGATTACATTTGGTCTGTATAACACACTGGAAAATGTATTAGTTGGGTTATCCCAAAAGACACCCTATGAATAAAAAACAATCTGCCTGGAATTAATAACTATATGACCCAGTGAATTTCTAACCCTTTTCCAAAAGTGCTTAGAGTAAAAATATGCCAAAATGATTGTCTACAGTGTAGGTGCCACTACAAATAGCATTCCATAGAGGGAAATTATTTTCTTTTTTCTTTTGCTGATAGTTAAAAAGAATCAACCATGGGTGTGTAGAAGAGATTTACTTTTGCTTTAGCATCCTTCTTCAGCCATGGGTGTGCTTAAATATGAGGATGCATTCGCAGAAGAGATTTACTTTTGCTTTAGCATCCTTCCTATTGAACAAACTACAATACAGACAGGTAAATAAAGATACACGCACTGCACTTAATAGTGGTTTGTCCAGCTCTTAACATAATGTAACACTGCCCCTTAACATCACAAAGTACCATCAGGAGCTCAAAAAAAAACGTTGTAAAAGCATTGAGGAAAGCAGCCATGAAACTGATCTTTAGGAGGCATCAACAAAATAAACATACATTAGTTATTCACATTCTTTACGTGTAGCTCTGTGAAAGGCTTTACTTCTCAACACTAAATACGTGCTCCTCTCGAATAATAAATACAGTGCTATGCTTCTTCAAGTTAATATCAACAATTTGTAAAGCTAAGCCTGCAACAGAGCATCACAAATAGAATGCTGTGCCATTAGAGGTTATATTTAATTTCCAAGTGTCCTTTATGCCAGCAAACAGTTTCCCACAGGGTAATGGCATGTGTTTGTGTGGACATAAGGAACTTTTTAGTTTTCCCAATGAGCTTCTAGTTGGCTCTAACAACAGAACAGCTTCATTTTCTGCCTTCTTTATCCTTCTGCCCCATATTTTCTGTGAGACACAGAACAGCGTTAGTGGATTTGTGGTTTTATTTCACTACACTCAAAAATAAATTATTTATGAGTTTTTAGAAGGATGTAATTGAAGTGTCCAGTGGTCACTAGTAATCCTCTGTTAATGCCTCTCTCCATCAAAGCCATGACTGATAGTTACACTGCGCATCAAACTGCTCTGTGTGACTTTATCTCCCACACACAACAATGGAAAAAGGCTTTCACAAAAAAAGGCTGTGGGTGTTTACAGCATACCAAGGAAAAATCTCATGAAAAATCCCAACAAAAACTAAAGTAGCCTTTTTTTTATTATTAAAAAAAAAAAAAAAAGCCTTAAAAATGACTGCATTGCAAAGAATATTCAGGCAAGTATTTTGTTCTGTATTGGAAGAGGGAGTGCTTTGCACAAACGTCCAGTTTCTGGCCAAAACTTTAAAATAACCTAACAGCTTTGGCATGCTGTGGTTAAGACGTTACCGTAAGTCTGACTTGGAAGACTAAAATGTTTCTTTTTTAATATACAAAACTAAAGAGAAAAAAAAAAGGATTTCAACATTATTTGAGTTTAACATTATTCTGGGACTTTTTATTTGAAGTTTTCGAAATAAGTATCTATCTAAGCTTTTTCTTCACTATGTGTTTTTCTGCAGGTCCTGGCTCTGATTTACAGAAAACCAGCAACATCCTGACAGACTGTATCTTCTCTCTCCACCAAATATTTTCCATCAATTGTTATGGCATGAAAAAAATACTATTAGGAAAATATCATATGGACTGCATAAGATTAATTTTCTTCCAGGAATGAGATGCTCAGAGGAGAGGAAAAAAAAAACAAACCAAAACCAAAAAAACAAAAACCAGAAGAAAAGCAAATGTCTGCTTAAGTTGAAAACTGAATGATGAGGAGATCGGCATTTTGCAGTTTTGTGAGTGGTTATGAACTTGAAGCACTGTCTAGGATAAGGATCACAAGTTGCTTCACTGGGAACAGAGGAACAAAGCCTGGAATCAGTGCTCAGCCAGTTTCAAACAAGGGGTCTTTTTACCTCGTTAAAAATCATCTAAAACTGCACTGTCATTATTTAATCTAACAGATGCTCCACATAAGAATGAACAACATAACTGGTTGGAACGTTGATATGGAATATCTGACTCCTTTTTCTTTGACTTCCACACAAAGTTTACACTGATGCAGAGTCCACTTGAGTCCAACGTAAAACTCGTGAGCATACAAGTGTGCAATGCATTATATGGCAGGTTTTGTACTTTGAGCTTAGTTTTACCCTTACAGAGGAAAACGAATTGACCATGGCAAACCCAGCCTGAACGGACCCACTCCTCAAAGCAGCTCCGTCTTCTCCCCATGGCTAACTCACCCAGAGGCAAACACATCATATTAAGGAACAGCCAAACTGCTCTTTTTCCAGGGGAACACAGAAGAGAGCACAGGCTGCAGCACTGCTGGGTCTGCTTTGTTAGGAAGCATGGGAGAGGCAGGTGCTGCACATGGCTCCTGCACGCTCCGAGCTCAGTTCTGTGACGAGGACGAGGCATGATGTTTCCTCTGTTTTCTCTCCATCTTCTCAGTGAAAAAGGGGCTAAAAGCAGTCTGCCAATAAGTGAGCCTTGCTCCTCCATTAAGGATTGGGTGGCAGTGGGGGGAAAGTCAGGCTAGGTGTGCAAAAGTATTTTTATGCTGACCACAGACCTGAGCCACAACAGAATTTGCTTTCTACTTTAGATCTCTGAAAAAAAACCACCCCAACCAACCAGTCCTTAAAATATGCCACCATACTGATGCCAGCTGTCATTTGTTTTCACTTGTTTAAAGTATCTGAATTACTTAAGAGATTCAGCATCGACTACTCACAGCAGCAGCACTGTCAAACCTGATAGCCTATCACACTAATAATGATCACAGAGCAGTTCTTGTCTTGATAGTATCAACATGGATTGTCTTACACTTGGTGTGGGACAAAAAAAATCAATACACTGGTCACAGTCAATGCAATTCAATCCAGAAAGAGAAAATGCCAGGTGCTAAACAAATTAGATTAAGTACAGATTAAGTGCATTTGCTAAATATTTGTTATTTCATTTATGAAAGTATGTTTTGTGTTGTATATTAGTTGTATAATGCACATGTCACATTGCATGTTCTGACAGAAAAGGATATGGAGTTTGTATTGGTGTCCACCTGGCAATTGAAAAATAAATTAAAATGATCCTTTCTGAAGCTGAAATTTTTAATAGTTGTGATTTAGCACAAAACCATTTATTCCCAAGAATCCAGAGATGATGCAAAGGCCAGGGGCTTGCTACTCTCTGATTTGAACAAAAGTAATTTCATTACAGGGTAGAAAAGCCTTAACAAATCCAATTACTGCTGCAGTGATCTCATTTGCTTTGCAGATTATGGTTGTATTACCATTGGAAATGAGAACAAATGCAGCAATGTTGCCACTTATTTACCCAAATGTATTGGGGACCAATTCAGCCCATGGATATTCCCATTGAACTCCAAAATTCAATGGATACATGACAATCATCAACACAAAGTGGGGAAGACTGCGGGGGCAAATAAACACTCAAGAAAGAGGCCCCGATTCAGTAATATATGCCCTGAAAAAAGGTGCTCAGCATGATTATTATAAGTAACAATTTGGATGATAATATAAAAGACTATTGAAATTCCACATAAGGCTGTCAAAATCAAAAACATCCCTCAGGATTGAGCTATAGTTTGGAGGCATTAACATTGTGGAGGAGCATTAGGATATCATAAGGGAGCACCATGTGATTTTGAGGAGTGGAGTAATAGAAATGGGATGAAATCCAACATTACTAAATGCATAAGCATGCACTTAGGGACTAATAACAGTACTAAACTACAGCAATAGAAATGGGATAAAATATCGTATTACTAATTGAAAGATCATACATTCAAAGCTGTATTTGCCATGAACTGGAAGATCTTGAGTTAACAACTGAGAAAAAGGCAGCCTGGTGTATATATCAAGTGATTTAGGGTGCCAGTAAGATGCAATATACAAAAGTGAAGTATTCTCTGTCGTCTACTGCCAGTCAAGATAGAAAACATCATTTTCATTATACATCACTACAATCCCATCTGGAACAAGAGTGTACAGTGCCAGTGACCCATATTTTGAAAAGTTAAGTGAAAATATGAACAAGTGCAGAGAAAAGACACAAGGATAAAGAAGAGAATGCATTGTGAGAATGGAGATTAGAAGAATTGGGCTGGTTTAATTGTGCAAAGTCAAGGCTGACAGGGTATCACCTCCTTCTGGAAACACAAAAGAATGCCAGAGAGAGACAGACACAAGGCATGAAAACTTCCACTTGATCTTCAGTGAAATATAGTCCAAGAATATACTGGCATAAACTTCCCATAAACTAATGAGGACTGGAAATTAGAGAGGTTGTTAAGCATGGGAGATCAGTGAGGTTTTGGAAGAGCTGGAGACAGGGAAAACATCTCACTAATGTAAACTGGAACTTACAATGTCATACTTGGCAATTGGGCACTCAAAGATCCAGAAGATCCTTTTCATCCCACACTCCTGCCCTGCAGTGCCTGCTCCCCTGCAGAAATGGTGGCTGGAAGGCATATACTGCTGATGCTGTGACCTAGCACTGACATGAGTTCATGCATTTGCAGCTCTGCATTAGCAACATACACCCCTGAAGGGTTAGATCTCTTTAAACATCCCATAACATGCAGCAAGCTTTTCACTCAAGCTAAATAAGGAGCTGACAGAAATCTCATTTGACCTGCACCTTCCTGAAGAGACATCCTGTACATCAAGGCTGAATTCAATTATGTTTGGAATTACCAACAGAAAAATTAATCTCTTTGTGGAAATAAACAAGAAAAACCTCCTTTCATTTTCATAGAGCAATTTACACACACTGTGCTCTCAGTCTTTTGAGACAGAAATAAAATTGAACCATTTTGACTCCTACAGCACACTGAACTATATTAAATCCTATTAGCACCAAGAGGGGAGGTTTTCCTCTTCTTCCGAATCT